ATATAAATATACATATATATATATTTTTTAGAAAACAAAAAGAAATAAACATAAATAAATTAATAAACGAAACAATATTCGATTTTTTTTCGAGTATTTTTGTACACTAATTCGTTTTCGTTATCGAAATGAATATTTGAGAACATTTCTCGAATTCTATTAATTTATGCATAACATTAAATAATACATTTTGACAGCAACGAATTTGAAATGTTCAACCTAATTAGATATCGATATAAAATAAACATTATTTTAAAAAAAATACCTGTCAAATGTATTGTCATCTCGTTGGTATTTTAAAAATCACGCGTTTGTTTCGTTATTAGGTAATTTTCTTTTCTTTATCTGTTGTTTAATTTTAAACAGCACGCAATAAACTATTATTACTTATTATCTTATAAGAGTTTAAAGACCCGTCAATAGAAAAAGAAAAAAATCAACTTCTACGAAAAAGGAAAGAAAAATAAAATTGATTTTAAAAATTATATGATGTGTGATACTTATTCATATTATCACACAAATACAAATCCGATTAATAGTTTTATAAGAATGATGATTTATATCATCGTGTTAAACTATTACAAAGTCTAAAAACCATTTCAATGGAAAATGATACCTCACAATAAAGTTCATTGCGCGCTGTATGTGTGTGTGTGTGTGTCTGTAGATTTTTTTCTAATATAATAGTTAGTTAATTTTATAAAGATTGACTTTATATATATATATATATACCACATAAAAAATTGTTAATATTGTGCGCAATTCAGCTTAATACAATTCCCATCAACGTCAGTTATCATCATCATCATTTTCATTTTTCTTCTTATTCTTCTTTTCATTTCGTATTTATATCTTCTAAAGAATGATTATTATATTTGAGAATATAATTTTTCTTGCCTTATCTTTTTTATTTTCTTCTTCAATATATCATATCGTGATACCTAATTGTTTATTAATAATAGAATGATAGCGAGCTATTTATAGAAGAATGCAAAAATTCATAATTTTGTTTGTATGCATGTATGTATATGCGATTGAAAGAAGAATAATATCTTTTGTTACTTTTGTTGTGTTTTCAATGAATGAAAAATATATAAATTAAAAATAATAAGAAGAAGAATTATAATAATTATAATATTAATATATAATAATAATAATAATAATAATAATAATAATAATAATAATAATAATATTGAAAATAATTTAGAGAAAGTTAAGTTCTCTCGTTGAAACTTATTTTCTAAACGTTCGCTTGAATTCAGTCTATAAATATATATATTATATAGCGAAGTTACTATATTATCGCAGATATTAGTTGTACCAAGGTACAAGCGCTCACTATCCCTTCGAAAAATCGTATATGGAAAGTAAAAAAAAAAAAAAAACAATATTTAATCATATTCGTTTATAATATTAAATGATTGAACGATATTTTGTGAGAATAGAGATACCCGATTATTATAAAGAAGAACCAATCATCAAACTAACGGGAATATTATCATAGGTTTTTGTTTCGTTTGTGTGTGTGGCAGTCTAGAGTTGAAAAAATTTCGGAATATCTCTTCCGTCCAGCGCATTTAACTTTTGTTCATATTATTTATATTTATATATAACGCTTGTCCCGTTAAAAATAAAAAATCTAAAATTGAGCGTACGATGATCACACACGCACACACGCAATACACACTGGGAGGGGGGTAGGGGAGTAAGGGGTGTGATCATAATCGCGTCGTTACTATCATTGGTGGTCACGTGTCTTATAAGTTTAAAAAAATATTAACAATGGCAATATATAGATGTATTAAACTATGCGGACAAGCATTTCGTTTTTTTTCTTTTTCTTTTTTATCAACTATGTCTTCTTCAACGTAAAATAATAATTCTATTATCCTGCTGATGATGATTAGCGTTCACATGTTATAGGCTACATAAATCGGGTCAAGTAGATCGGCAAGGAATCCATCGCGCAAATGCATCCGTTGTTTCTCACCTCTCGAATTGATTGGAACTACACCTGGATCAACTACTACTACTACACCTACTACCAAATGATGTTCTTCCAAAACAGCGCTAGTAACAAGTGCCACTAAATCGAGAGCTTCACTTTCACTTCCATCCAGCTCGACCACTACTACTAACAGATTAGTCCACGTAAACACGGCGCTGTGAAAACAAATATCAATCGTTTTATTTATTCATTAATTTATATTTAATTACGCGTGTTATCTCGACAAAATATAATAAAATAAAATAAAAATGAAAAATTTATATACTGACCATTCGGCAATTTTCTTATGACACCTCATGACACTGTTTTCAATATCAATCGGATGATATCTCATGCCCCTAAGTAAAATAGCTTCGTCCAAAGCACCAACGACAAAAACAGCGTCATGTAATTCGGCATCACCGGGAACAAGATCGGCTTCCGATGCAGCAGAAGTATCACCGGGAACGTCACTAATAACAGACTGTTGAACGCTTTCAGTCCTTCTTAGGAAACCAAGATAACCGGTCCTAGCGTAAACTTCATTTGTGTTTCCAGTTACGAGTCGTGCATTGAAGTGATCGGCATAATCAGTCTCGTCCCCATAAATTGTAAAATAACCGCTTGCATTGTGCGCCGATTGTACCCAGATTTCTCCTAAATGCGAGTCGCCGCATTGACCTTTTGTTTCGGGATTTGCTATTATAACTTTGACACCGGGTAATAATTTTCCGGATTCCATTAAACAGAGTGAATGTGGGCTACCCCTTTCGACTAGGGATACACGGTCGTTACGTAATGCTCGTAGATCCACGTATACCGTTGATGGTTCCGGACTAGATGCACCCTTTTTTTTGGATTTTTAATTTTTAATACAAATATTAATTAATGGGGTTCTCCTTTGATATGAGATAATTGTAATTTAATATTTACCTGAAGACATATGGCAGTATTAACTCTACATCCAAACGACGTTGAGACAGCACGAGGACTTAATCCAAGAGCAGAGAACAATTTACTGAAGCTCGTAGTCAATGCTATTCGTGGTCGTTCTTCTGCAACTACTACGCAAGTCCTAACACATGCTAAACTAACGCCACGAGCTTTTAGAGCATGAACCGAGGAACCTAAGCCTTTAGTGCATAATTCCATAACACCGTAAGAGCAAAAAGTATCCCTTACTCTGGATTGACTAACAGCTGATAACCATAGAGCTGGATTTGCTTCAACCTTATAAAAATATCATTTTTACATTTAATATATATATATATATAAATAAATGTGTTAAATATAAAGACATGTGGGATGTTATACCTCGGATGGTGGTATTAAAATGGAATGATGTCCACTGTATATACTACTTAAACACCATAGAGCAAACCCAAGACCGGAATAAGGATCTAAACAGAGAGCGATATGTCTTGAAGGATATAATTCGCATGCGAGTTTCATAGCACGGCATAAGGACGTTACTGCCGCGTGTGACATTTTAATTCCGGCCAACATGCCCGTAGTGGATACACTAAAATCCAAGTATGCCAACATTTCCGCAGTAGGTGCTCGATACATAACGGGAAGCTTTTTCTTTGGCATGTCATCCATATCAAGAATCGTTGGCCAAGTTTTAACTTCGATAACATTATTAGCTTCCTAATTAGAAAAAGGAAAAGAAACATAAAAAAAACCAATTGAATTCCCATAATTTAAATTGTCGTGTACGAATAACTTAATCATGTTTTATTATCATTACCTTAGTCTTTAATAATTTCATGATATTTTGATTGGTCAATACGAGTACGGATTTACTGACATCAACGATCATGCGAACGGTTGGCAATGTTGTTTGCAAATTTTGAGGATGGGGGGGCCTGATCGTAACAGGTACAGCACCGACGTAAAGACAACCATAAAAGGCGCATATCAAATCTGTCCCAGGTGGAAATATCAATGCTACGTGATCCCCTGTGTTTATTCTTCCACGATCCAATAAAAGATTCCCAATGCGTTCGGCTTTCTTGTGAAGTTGTAAACAGGATAATGAAGTAGCCACTGCTCCTTTTGCATTTAGGGATGTAAAGATTACGTGATCGGATGTACTAACTGCACGCCAACGTAAAATCTCCGAGATGAATTGATACTATAAAATCATGATTAGATTAACAAAGATGATTTTAATAATAATCTTACAATTAGATGATAATAGATAAATTAATATGGAAACCTTTTTAGCATTATCACTGTCCTCGTCTAAAACACCCATGTCACGTCCTTGAGCAGATGCCAATCTATTTCCTTGAACGATGTTGCCAACCATTACGCTCGCCGGACCAACGTCTGCAACAGAATCCCCCGCTACACGCCCCCGCACCATTCCGTTAGTAAACCAACACAAACACTCAACCCGGTAAATGAGTAGCTCACACACTCTCCCCTGACTGAGGCCGGAAAATCAAAGCTAGGATCAAAGATTCGTTGCTGTTGAGCACCTAGAGTAACACGTTCTATTTTTCTGTGGTTGGAGAGCATTCCATTGAGGCAGCAGGAAACGTAGTTAAAACTGTTTGCTTATCAACCAATATAGTAAGTTAAAAATAGCGATGTGAAAATTAATATTACGTGTGGTATAATATTAAAAACACATGTGTAATGTTACTACTGTATAATGTAGTAGTAGTAGTAGTAGTAGTAGAAGTAGTAATAGTAATAAGTATAATAAAATATGTCGTGTCGTTTCATTCATCGAAGAAGCAAGCTATTTGTTACAAATCATAAAATGTTTAACGTTTATATATATATTTATTTTTTTTATGGTTTGAATTTTTTCGCATCGCTATACGTGTTTGTACTATAGGTTCTGGACAATGCTACAGGATATTCGGAACTCAGCCAAAAGAAAGAAGGGCAACAAACTATAATAATACATGCAAAGCACAGATAATCAGGAATAAGTAAAAAAAAAAAAAAGAAAAAAAGAAAAAAGTACATAATATATACAGCAAATGAATGTTATGTTAGCAGAAAATCTGTGCCAGATAAAAAAACGTTTGAAATTATTCATGAAAGCGCAGCGCAGCAGCCTTGTGGTGCCAATTAAAATAAAAAAGAAAAAAGGACTTGATCTGTGTGATCGCTTAAATATATATATATATATATATATATAAATACGGATAGTATAATAAAAATAAGAAAATAATTCTATCGCTCATTCTCTCTCATTATTCACTCGTATAACACGTTACGCGAATGATTCAAAAAAACAATAGAATGTAATACTTTAAACACCATCGCGTTTACGTTTATAACAAATGTGTTCGTACACTTATTCGCGTGTTTTTTTGAATCACTGCATGCGTCATTGTAATAAAGAAAAAGGAAAGAAACAAGAAAAGAAAAAAAAAAAAAAGAAAAAGAAAAAGATTATTAGACATTGAAACTTGCCTATGTAATACCTATGTTTTTTCATTAGTATATCCTCTACACTCTTTAGGTATAGCCGCTCGTGCGTTTGAACGCCTGCATTTGTTAAAGTATACAGCGTTTATTGTGTTATCCGATAAACCACTTACCCGAATGCACTTCACGCGGTTTTGGTAAGTTGGTAACACAAGTATGTGGGCAGAGCAGGACGTTAGCTGGATGTAGTGCACCTTCTAGAAAACGTCTTTTTGTTTCAGACAGGTGAATACCGCCAAGTGGTGTTTTTGGTAGATAATTAGGTGGTACTAATGCAAGACAATAAATTCCAACCGCGTGGATTGAATCAACTGCTTGCAAAACACGTGACATCCATTGGAAACTCTGAATAGAAATACAAATCAAGTCAAGACCAAGAGTGTCAATTCAAATCAAATCAAATCAAATCAAACATCAAATGAAATTACACAAATGATTAATACAAAATATTATTTTTACCTCTTCCTCGCTACAATCAGGCCGTTGTTCGGCAACGACGCATATCCTTTCGTCTCGCAAAACTCTAACACTGAATACAGCAATTCTACCACGATAAATAAATTTCATTGGTTCTACCGCTAATACGGTAGCTATTATATCGTCCGCATTATGTTTCCTTCCTGTCACCGTCATAAGACCATCGCGAGATCCGCAAACAAATACCAAACCACCAGGACCGAGAAATCCTAACAAACCCGATCGTGTATATTCCACGTCGCCTAATGGTGTACTATCCGCTTGTAACGGTGATACTTTGAAAGTATTATTTGTTAATCCTTGAAGTCCCCAATATTGACTACCAGTAGCAGCACTATGCACGCATATTTCACCAACTTCGTCGGTTTTACAAATATATGGCTTTCCTTCCATCTTAACTACCACTACGATACCTGTATAATAAAAAAAAAAGAAGGAAAGAGAGAGAAAGAGAAAGAGAAAGAGAATGAGAGAGAGAGAAAGATAAAGATAAAGGGAGTATTAAATATATAATATTAATAATATGATTAAAAATATATATTAAAGATAACTTACTTCCTGGCATAACTTGACCACAATCTTGTAACGTAAGAGAAGTCAATGAATTTTCTTGATCTACCCTAACAACGCCATAACTTAATCCTGACATAGAAAGGACGCCACGTCCGGTAGCATTAACTCCTGCACGACCAGGTCTTCTGACAGATACCGTAAGAGCTTCGCTAGATGATGCACAAGGACATACGGCATCCGGTCTAAGACCCTTCGATTGAAACACAGAAAGAAATTGATCACAAGAAGATAGGGACCAAGGATTGGCACCGTCAGCGACTAGCAGCAACCTCAATGAGGATAATGATATATCCTTGTGATCTTTGGTTGCTAATAAACCCCAATGGAGATCTCGTGATTTAACTACTGCCACGCTGGCTCGATATTTCGTTATCATTTGCATCCAACTAGCTGGATTTACCTTCATCAAGGCATACGGTATAAATATAACGTGCATCCCATTTAATACGCTAGTCAGAGTGCTATGCCATAGACCAACTTCCCGTTTAAAATCTAACACGCAAACGGCATTTTCTCCTTCGGTATAACCGCACGCTTGTGTTAGTGCACGACAATGAGCAAGCATAGCTGATCTCGTAACCGTAACACCCATCACCGATCCATCCTTCACTGTTGTATATTCGATGTATGCTGGTGTATCATCGGTTAAACGGGGAGGTGGTAACCAATCTTTCGGAGTTTTACCTAAATGTTCTGTTACGAACCAATGCAATTTTGGCCAACCCTTGAATGCTACTACTTCACCAGCTGCTGTCTTTGGTAAACCTTTGAGACAAGCCTCGCTGGTTAGGGCAACCTGATACAATAATATCAAATCAAATGATTAATATTATATTATATTTAATTATACTTTCATTCATTTTATTTATACCTGAATTTCGCAACTACCGAGAAGAAAACCTATCTGTTGGGAACCTGCATCTCGACGTGTCAATGGTACTTCTATGGGTACAGGCACGATACCAGCTTGAAGACAACCATAAAATGCACACATAAAACTGATCGGATCATTGTTAGGATATACCAATGCGATTCTATCTCCAGGCTTGAGACAACAATCCCCACCGCGACTTAGTGCCTTGTTTAATAATGTATATGCTATTTTATGGGAACGACTTAAAAGTTTTCCATATGTCAATGTGATGCAAAGTTTCCCATTAGGATCTAATACGGTTGCAACCGGTGCTTTGTAACTTGCCGAGCCATACCTTGAACACAAAATTATATTTCATTATAAAATTATATATCAATTATTTAATTAAATAAATAATAACACTGTGGATGATACATTTAAACACATATATACATATATAATACATATACTATTTAAAATAATCTCAATTCTTTATAAAACATATTCCATTGAACGGACGGATATGATTCATCTTCCTACTTTGATAATCATTATAATAAGGAAATTATATTGAAATTGTATGTAGGACAGATATTACTTATATACATATATATCAAACGTTTTTTAATATATTATTGTTACCTTTGTATAGCAGCTTCAAGTGATCTAGGTAACCCCGATGGCACCGATAATTGTTCACCGATCGCAGACGTCATCGAACCACCTTCCGGTTTAGGTGCATTAGGATCTTTAGGATTAGCAGCTATTTCCAATTCTATATCGTCGTCCTCGTAAAATTCTGGCAATGGTCGTCTCTTTGGCCGTTTTAACGTATTCAATAATTGTTGAATTTTAGCTGACACTTTCCAACGTCCCGTAGTTCCTGTATTATTTTGATCTTCTACTACGTGGTAACGATTGACACGATCGGCACCGGGTCGTCTCGTCGACTGCTGAGCTGTTGGCGTACTGCCCGTATGCGTTACGTCCGGTGGTTGTATATTACAGTAAGCATGAGGCGTATATTCGGCGATGTCAGTAATGTCAGCACCAGGTGGCCTCCTAGCTGGTGGTCTTGGTGGTGGTGGTGTATCACGTGCTGATCCGGTACTGCTAGTGTCTGATAACCCAGTACCTAATTTTTAACATTTTTTTTTCTTTTCATAATCTTTAAGTTCTTAATAACTACTACATTATTTTCTTTTTCTTTTTAGTTTTAGTTTTCATTTGATGATAATTAAAATCTGATAGATATTGATATCAATTTAAATGACAATAGAATTTATGGGACTAGTCAATTTCATTTCATTACCAATATTTAGATTTATAATTTTGAAATTTATCTATAATCTTATACTATAAAATAAATATATATATATATCTTCTTTTATATTCGTCAAAACTTGTTGACAGATACCACATAGAAATATTTATAAAATTGATGTTAACATTCAAAACAATGTGCTAAACTAATTATGATACTAAAGACTATATATATATCATAAAATATAATTTACATGATTACTGAATAAAAATCAAATGATAATAATGAAAAATGTACAAATGGTTTATGATTAAATCCTATTACAAAGGATTTATTAATTAAATCTCTAAATTTGGAAATAATTTTGGGGGACAAAAAAAAAGAAACAAATAAAGGAATATAATTATTATACCAGTTGGACCACCAGCACCAGGACTTTCTTCTGTTACGACACTATCCTCATCACTACTTGATTCCCCACTGTCACGACGTTCCCGTTCAGGACTCCTAGCCATGACGGAAGTTCTCTTTGATGGCATTGGTAAGGATGGTTTTGGTCGACCTTGCATAGCTGCCAAAGCTTGTTGCACCGCCTCCTGACGTACCTCTGAACATTTCAAATACGATTAACATAAAAGGTAGTTCAATTTTTATCTCACTATTATAGTCAAGTATTCATTATTATAACTAGTTGATAAGATAAGTAATACAGACATACACACATACACACACACGCTGTAAAACAATGTTTGAGACTTTTTTTAATTATTATTTTAAAAAATTGACTAAACTAACATTTAAGCAGACTATTTGAAACATTTTTGCCAAAGCATTATATATATATATTTTTTAAATTTAAATATATTAAATATAGAGGATGAATATTTTAAAAAAATTCAAATTAACATAAAAGCATACAATAATAATAATGAAACAAATATCAAACTCATTTTCACAACGTTCACCCATTCTATATTATTGAGATAATATTATCGCGATTAAATATCAAGCTAATAAATTCTAATATTAATTTAACCAATATATACGATATTATATATATATATATCGTCTTATAAAATATATAAATTAAAAAAGAAAAAAAGAGAGAACACAAAAGTAAAATAATTAAAATAAAATAAAAGAAGTAATAAAGAAATACACGTATATATTATAAATATTATCGAAATTCAATAATATATACACACATATATATATATATATGAAAATAAAAAAAATAAAAAATAATAATAATAATTAACATACGAGTAGAAAATAGTCGTATTTCCGGGTAAAACATGCCGAGTATTATATCGTTATTACATCATGCAACATCGGTGTACGTAGTTCGTTCGTTACGAAGTGCACTTATGCGTTTTACGTGCGCATACAGGCACGCACACAAATAAGAAAATTCATAATAAAAATTCATACGGTAGGTTTTAGTTGTGTGTATAATACGGATTCATCGAGTAGTATACGCGAGTACACGTGCACGCGTATTTCCATGCCGGACGTTTTATTTTTCCATGGACGGATACCAGAGTTATCTTCTACGAGCCTACGTCCGTCCATTTCGTTTGCTAACGGTGCACCAGGTGCAGGATTACTTATATACGATATATACCATCACCTCGTGAAAACATACCAGAGACCTCCTTTTTCTTTTTCTTTTTTTTTTTCTCTCTCTCTCTCTCTTTTACCATTCTTTGATTATTTTCATTTATACCACACCACGTTGATGATTAATTTGTAAATCTTTTTTTCTTTTTTTTTTTTTGAATACCAAACGCGTAGAATATTTTAAATGAAATTATTCTATACTATTCAATTTGAATTGTTTATTATTATCTTTGGTTTTAATTCAACGATAATTATTGTTCGATTAATATAAGTTTGTTTTATCGAATATTTGTGTGATTGGAAAGATAAAAAGAAAAAATACACGTGTATCTAATTTTATATCTATGATCTCATGTACATATCAATGATGTAAGTAATCGATAGATATACTGTGTGAGAAGTAGAAGAAATAATAAAATAGATAATAATAGTTTTCGATAAGTGATCGTAGTTCGATGAACCCCCTAGCAATCGTGAAATAATAAATATTATTATCTTTTACGATTTATTTCTAACTAATGTTTTTCACACATTGTGCATCATTCGAATTTATCTTATCGACGTTTGTAGATTGGTAAAGAAACTTGGAAATTAAAGTTTTGATTTATAAATTAAAAAAAAAAAAAAGGAAACAAAACATTTGAATTATTCTTTTCAAGATTATATTAACTATCTATACAAATGTCTCATTTTAATATTTCAAAAGTTTATTAGATTAGAAAAATATTAGAAAAATGTTTATTACAATTATTCTTTTGTTTTCTTCTTCATTTTACATAGGTGTCTCGTTTATTTATAAAAAAAAAAAAATTACAGATTAAAGGCCAAACTTTAGAAAGATTTTGTTAGTTCACTTTTAGAAATTAAATATAATTGTTATGTGTATTAAAAAAATAAAAAAAATAAGAAAAAAAGAAAAAGGTGTTGTCGTTGTCTGACTTATTGGAAAAAAATAATCAGAGCACACGGATTGGATTTAATTTACTCACCGGAATGATAGCGGCTCTCATTGCGCGTAAGTCTGCGATTACCGCGTCTAGCAGCAGCCGAGTTTGAATTCCCGGTGTTTCCTCCGGTTGAGCCGCCAGATCCCGGAGGACTGGCGATCCCACCAGGTACTAGCCGACCTCCTGCATGCAACACAACAACAACAACGGCACATAGACAAAAGAGAGAGGAATTTCTATAAGGATTTCTTATTTTTTTGTTTGTCCAATCGACCTAGTAATATGGCTTTTTTTATTTTTCTTTTTCTTTTCTCTATCTGCACAGTTTAATACTAAATTTATTTATTTATTTTTTTCTTTTATATTAATATATATATATATATATAAAAAAATATAAACAAACGTATCAATTTAAAAATCCATTCACCGTGTATTATTCGTGTACCCATTGAAAATGAAATCAAAAACAAAAATTAACGTTTGCAAATTTTTCTCGTATAATAATAATTATTATTATTATTGCAAATGATTATTTATTTATCGAAGAAATAAGAAAAAAAAAAAGAAAGAGGGAAGAAGAAGAATGAATAATCAAATTGAAATTCATTTTTTTCAAGGTACACAGAATAAACATTTAAATTGCGCCATCCACGACCGGTCGTTCCCACCTTCGGAAGCTGCGATAACGATTTCACTTTTATCGATTTTCCGTGTGCACGACGACGACGACGACGACGACGACGATGACTACTACAGTGGCGTAGAGAAAGCTCGAAAAATAGAAGAGGAGGAGGTGGTGGTAGTAGAGTGTAATGGACGAATTACAATATAGAAATAGAAAATTTGTTTTTCAATCTATCATATACAATACAAACAAAATAATATTTGAAAAAAAAAAAAAAAAAAAAAATTTAGGAATCAATACTCGACGATATTCATTTTTTAGTATGCCTATAAAAACGAGCATGAGGATTTACTTTTAATAATTGTAAATATTTTTCTATACGCGAAAAAGTACGTTTTTATAATACGAGGTGAAAAAGGTGGGGGTTTGAGGGTTTTTAAGGGGGANGAGGAGGAGGTGGTGGTAGTAGAGTGTAATGGACGAATTACAATATAGAAATAGAAAATTTGTTTTTCAATCTATCATATACAATACAAACAAAAAAAAATTTGAAAAAAAAAAAAAAAAAATACATACACAATTAAATAGACAAACGGATAGATAAGTGTAAAAAATATAAAATTAAAGTTAAAGATCTTTTAATAATTGTAAATATTTTTCTATACGCGAAAAAGTACGTTTTTATAATACGAGGTGAAAAAGGTGGGGGTTTGAGGGTTTTTAAGGGGGAATAGAATAAAATAGTATAATAATAGTTATTTTTTTGTTGTTGGAAGGGGGCAACATTGATCGCAGATTTCACGTTGTACACATACGTTGGTTACGTAGCCAAGGAATGTCATGGGGATGTGGCCTGTTGTACGATCTTGAGTCACCCGAAGGTGGAACAACCGGTCTCGGCTACCGCCTGACTAAGTCAAATTACAAAGGTATCTAAGGTGCAAAGGCATCATCACCCAGTCGAACCAGTACATTTACAATATAATTTACAAGCAAGCAAGCAATGATGTGATTTAAAAAAAAAAAAAAAAAAAAAGAAAAAAAAATATAGGAAATGATTTATGTACGAATGATTATTACGTAGAGAATTATATAGTATATTCTAATTACGGTTTAAATGATAATTATCTTGATTAGATTGGTCAATAAGTAACGTTGATTAATTTTTCTTATTCAAATATATATTTGATGGTATTTCAATGTTTTTTTTTAATATATTCATTTAAATAATGTTTTTTTTTTCTCTCTTATTTACTTAGAAAATTAATTCAAACAAAAATATATATAAGCATACATAATTAAATATTCAACAAAATTAAATATATAAATAAAATATCAAATGTTGTGTGTGTATGTGTGTTTATTTGAGAAACGATAAAATGAATTCAAATAAAAAGTAAAAAAAAAAGAAAAATATACCCCAACGTTACCTATTTTAAATATAAATTACTTCCAAATTCCTATATATATATATATAAAGACTACTACTACCTTCTTTCTTTGGGCCCAATCCAATTACCATATTAAATATATTTACATATCCTACATGTTACACCGTTTACATAAGATAAAAAATAACAATGAATAACGTTATATATAAAAGAAGAAGAAGAAGACATACATACATATGTCACTACGTAATCCTCGTAATTAGTAATTGTTAAAATGATGCCAAATATATATATATATATAAACAATAAAACGAATGACACATACGAGAAATGATCTAATCGTATTATAACACGACAATATTTAAACGTAGATAATAATAAAATAATGTTCGAACGAACACAGTATGTGAGAATGAGAAAGATAGATAGATAGATATAGGGGGAAAGAAAAAAAAAAAGAATAATAGAAAGAGACACAAGATCGTGCAAACAAATAAAAACTAAAAAAAAAGAAAAAAAAAAATGGTTCGTCGAGTAAAAAGTACTATGACGAAAGCACGAATCTGCTGCTCGGAGGGATCTATGCTTAATTAAGGCGAGGACAACGGCACTGCAATTATACCTTGAGTATCCCCACCAACCAACCCCCCTACTTCTAACCACCCTACCCTACTCCCCCTACCCCCACAACCCTTGATTTTGTGCGCATACGCGCAATCCTGACAACCATTCACACAGTTTGTCTCTGTTTACTTTCTTTCTTTTTTTTTTCTCACGTTGCATTTTCGGATAATTTTCCTCCCATCCACCCACTTCCATTAAAAAAAGAAAAAAAAAAAAAGAAAGGAAGAATGATAGAAATAATAAAAGAAAAGAATACGTTCGAATTATGCGAATCATTTTACACGCCTGTCTTCTCTCTTTTCGAGAAATCCCATGGAAAGGGGGGTGGGAAGGGGGCAGGAAGTTAGGGGAATAGTCTCGCATACTTTTGGACGTTTTTTAATTTTTCTTTTTTTTTTGCGAGAAGTTAACGATAACTCGACGTCTTATCTGTCACGTTCTACTTTTTCTTTTATTTTATCTTCTTTCCTTGTTCCCTTTTTACACGAGGATTGTGAATCACAGAGATTTTATTATTGGAATCGAATACGTGAACAAAAAAAAAAAAAAAGAACAAAAAAATGATCGTCACGATAAAAGATAGGTAGAGAGAGAGAGAGAGAGAGAGAGAGAAAGATATATAATTTTAATCGTAATTAATTCTCGAAACAAGGTCTCGGTATTTTATTCGAGACATATAATTCGACTTATCGAATAATAATGTTGCATGCGTGCCGTCGATATTTCGCCTTGAAAATTGGTATAAAAAAAAAAAAAAAAAAAAAATAGAACGGGGATAACGAGTTGAGAAAATGAAGGATATAAATTACAAGGATAGAAATAAATAGTCGAATTAAAAGTATACATAAAAAAGAAAT